CCTCTGGCTCTGAAACTTCAACTACTTCTTCTTCTGGCTCTGAAACTTCAACGACTTCTTCTTCTGGCTCTGAAACTTCAACTACTTCTTCTTCTGGCTCTGAAACTCATACTTCTTCCTCTGGCTCTGAGAACTTCAACTACTTCTTCCTCTGGCTCTGAAACTTCAACTACTTCTTCCTCTGGCTCTGAAACTTCAAACGACTTCTTCTTCTGGCTCTGAAACTTCAACGACTTCTTCTTCTGGCTCTGAAACTTCAACTACTTCTTCCTCTGGCTCTGAAACTTCAACGACTTCTTCTTCTGGCTCTGAAACTTCAACGACTTCTTCTTCTGGCTCTGAAACTTCAACTACTTCTTCCTCTGGCTCTGAAACTTCAACTACTTCTTCCTCTGGCTCTGAAACTTCCACTACTTCTTCCTCTGGCTCTGAAACTTCAACTACTTCTTCCTCTGGCTCTGAAACTTCAACGACTTCTTCTTCTGGCTCTGAAACTTCAACGACTTCTTCTTCTGGCTCTGAAACTTCAACTACTTCTTCCTCTGGCTCTGAAACTTCAACTACTTCTTCCTCTGGCTCTGAAACTTCAACTACTTCTTCCTCTGGCTCTGAAACTTCAACTACTTCTTCCTCTGGCTCTGAAACTTCAACTACTTCTTCTTCTGGCTCTGAAACTTCAACTACTTCTTCCTCTGGCTCTGAAACTTCAACTACTTCTTCTTCTGGCTCTGAAACTTCAACGACTTCTTCTTCTGGCTCTGAAACTTCAACGACTTCTGGCTCTGAAACTTCAACTACTTCTTCTTCTGGCTCTGAAACTTCAACTACTTCTTCTTCTGGCTCTGAAACTTCAATTACTTCTTCTTCTGGCTCTGAAACTTCAATTACTTCTTCCTCTGGCTCTAGAATTTCAACCTCCAACTCTGAAACGTCCTCTGTTTCCGGGACACCCAATCCAGCCTCTTCCTCACCCGGCAAAGTGTTAGCGTCTTCTACGTTCACCATTGCCTCAGTGGGTGGTTGGCCTGTGATTCCTGAAAGTGTTGTGATTGTCACTTCCTCAGCAAAAGCAGCTGTAGTGAATAATACCTGTGAGGTGGGGGTGACAACATCCAAATCCTCCCCTTCTTCCTCAACAGGAGTCAGGTCTTCCTCTGATATCAGGTTAGGAGACAGATTGATATATGGAGCGTCCGTCTCCAGCTCCAGAATCACCGGAGAGGTCGGGATGTAGTCTCTCACGAGTTCACCAATCTCGTCGTGATGAATGGTTTCAATCTCATGTGTAATGATAGGCAATCCTTCATTTGATAGCTCTGGCTCACCCACATAAATTGCCTCTTCCTCCTCTGTAATATCCTGAGAGGCTGGAGAGTTATCGTTTCGCTCCGCCATCCCTCCAGTTACTGCCGTGGTCTCATCATCGGGGAGGGCGGTGGGATCCAGGAGTGTCACGAGAGCGTTTTCCTTCTCCATGGGGGTGAGAGGGACCTCCAGCCGGGGTTTATCCACCTCTGGCTCCACAGTGGAAACCTCAAACTCGTTGTGAGAATCCGGCTGGGTAAAAGACAAGATTTATACATTAAAAAAGGTTGGTATTAGTCAGTGATTTTGCAGGTTTTTGTTACACAAGATTCAAGATACAAGGCTTTTATTGTCATGTGTTCAGAGCTACAGTGTAGATATGTCCATGAGAATCTGAGGTCACAGGCTCCTCCAACAGCAACACAATAAAACAGACACAATAGTTCAAATAGTGCAAGGAGAGTCTAAACACAACGCAAAGTGTTTTTAATACAAAAGATTCAGGTTATTGAGGGTTTGGTATCAGTATTTTTTAGGGCTGTCAAGTTAAAAAAAATTAACGCCACTAATTATTTTAACGCGATTAACGCATGTGTATTTTTTTTCCTCGGCCGCCCCGTAGTTTCAGAGCGCATCGAGTTTAAAATACCATCTACAAGCTGATGCTGACAGCCCGTGGCAGACCACACTTCCACGCTCACCAGCAGGCACCGACTGGCCATCGGGAGGACCGGGAGAGACCTTACATGTATTGCTAATGTTAGCATCTGGTGCTAGCTAGCTGCACTAACGGATATAAGGAGCTGTTTAAATGAAAACAGAGGAGCGACATTTCGCCACAACTGCGCCGAGCACTTGACTTTATGCAGGAAGCCAGACAGTGGGACATTGTATGAAAAGTCAGCACACTCAGCACGGATAGTGCGCAACATGATTGCAGCGTCCAGGTAGCTCCCGTTCGAGCATATGCCTTGAGTTGCACATAGCTCCAACGATCACACACACACACACACACACACACACACACACACACACACACACACACACACACACACACACACACACACACACACACACACACACACACACACACACACACACACACACACACACACACACACACACACACATATTATTGTATGAGAGAGGTTCCAGGTTGAATTGAGGCGAATATTTGTAATGTTCAGAGGTTGTTGTGTTTAATATTCATGAGAATATTTGTCATTGTTCAAATGATAATAAACATTAGCATACAGCATATTTGTCCACTCATATGTTGATAAGAGTATTACAAACTTGAAAGATAATCCTCTAAGGTACATTTAGAACAGATAAAAAATGTGCGATTAATTTGCGATTAATCGCGATTAAATATTTTAATCGACTGACAGCCCTAGTATTTTTTATTGAACGTGACCCTTTATTTTTCCTTAGAATTCCTTCAGGAGCAAATCTTTTACAGATTTCTGTCATTTTTCACAAATGATATTGAATAACGGAGAGAGTGTGCATCTTAATTAGTCCCAATTAATGACTAAAAAGTATATACCCTGAACGTGAACAGTCCCTAGCTAATTTAAAGCAACATTAGATATTATAATCTCCAATTCCCATACATTTAGGACCCCTTGTGCATTAAGGAGTCTTTACTAACTAATTAAGTCATCCTATGTGATGTGAAAAGGCAACTTTTAAAAGGTGTCAATTCCACAACATATAATGTTTACTATGCATGAGATATCACATGCTTTCTCCACATACTCTTTCCTTGACTAGTTAGACTAAAGAAAACAACTAGTATATTCAAATATGGTCCTTTCTGGAGTATATTTCCAGTAGCATGAATTAAACCTCTTACCTCATTCACCACTTCAATTGTAGAGGTTGCTGAGAGGGCTGGTAGGTGGATCACTTCTGTCCAAAAGAAAGGAGAACAATGCATTTTCATACATGAGGTGGTTGGGTTTCAGAGCATTTCCACTGCTGTTATTTCACATGCCGACACTAAGGACTACAATATAGGCAAGGCAAGGCAATTTGATTTATATAGCACTTTTCAGCACGTGGCGATTCAAAGTGCTTTACAGATTCAAAGCAAAATACATTTAAGAACACGGCATCTATTGCACGTCTGTCCGTCCTGGGAGAGGGATCCCTCCTCTGTTGCTCTCCCTGAGGTTTCTCCCATGTTCCCTTTAATCTGTGGGTTTTCTCCGGAAGTTGTTCCTTGTACGATGTGAGGGTCTAAGGACAGAGGGTCTGAGGACAGAGGGTCTGAGGACAGAGAGTCTAAGGACAGAGGGTCTAAGGACAGAGGGTCTGAGGACCGAGGGTCTGAGGACAGAGGGTCTAAGGACAGAGGGTCTGAGGACCGAGGGTCTGAGGACAGAGGGTCTAAGGACAGAGGGTCTAAGGAGAGAGGGTCTGAGGACAGAGGGTCTAAGGACAGAGGGTCTGAGGACAGAGGGTCTGAGGACAGAGGGTCTGAGGACAGAGGATCTAAGGACAGAGGGTCAGAGGACAGAGGGTCTGAGGACAGAGGGTCTGAGGACAGAGGGTCTAAGGACAGAGGGTCTAAGGACAGAGGGTCTAAGGACAGAGGGTCTAAGGACAGAGGGTGTCGTATTGTCATACTGATATTCTGTACAAACTGTGAAGTCCACTGAGACAAATGTAACATTTGTGATATTGGGCTATAAATAAACATTGATGGATTTAAGAATAAATACAGCATAAATACATTATTAAAAAGGCATTTCAAAACAGGCATAATAAGCAAAGGTAATTAAATAAATTAAATAAATAAACACAGCAGGTACAGAATACATGACTGAAAGGCATACTGTAGTGTGAGTATGCAGCTCTATTAAAAGCAGCGGCAAATAGGTGCGTTTTTAGTCTGGATTTAAACATAGGAAGTGTTTCGGCGGACGTGCACGATGTGGGAAGTTTGTTCCAGATTGTCGGGGCATAATAACTAAAAGTTGCTTTTCCATGTTTAGTGGTTATTCTCGGAACAGAGAGCAGACCCGACCCAGAAGACCTGAGACTCCTGGATGCTTCATAGTGATGGAGGAGGTCGTCTATATACCTCGGTCCGAAGCCATTTAGAGATTTAAAAACTAGCAGTAGTATTTAAAAATGTTTGGCGATGTTAGCACTGCACCTGGTTCGAAGTTAAGAGAGTTTAGATCGATCGGCAGCGAGGCTTCTTCTCGTAAAGCCTTGGTCACCATTTCTCTAAGATCAGCGATGACTGAATCCCCCGGGCTTTCGGTCGTCACCTCTGCTTCCTCAGAGCTGATTTCCGGGGACGTTATCTCAAAGATGAGAGAGTAGTGCACCGAGATTCCTCCGGGACTGAAACGAAGAAAACATCTCTGTGATTATCTCTTCACACTCAAATGTTTTAATCAACTTATCTACATGTTCAGACTGTTATGGTGATTGTGTGATGATCTGCTGAGAGTTCAACACGCAGCAGGAAAGTCACGGTGGCATTAAAATCAAAGCAATGAGCTAAAAGAAGCTAAAACTGTGACGAACTTGGATAATTTTCAGCAGGTTTGACCTACGAGCTTCATCCTTTCTGCACTACACGAGAGGAATATATTTCCCTTAGGAAAGTCAGAGCTAAAAGATAACTTAAACAAGTTAATTCTGAGACTAACAATAAAACAAATGAGCTAAAAGAAGCTAAAACACTGAAGAAATGGGATCATTTTCTGCAGAATTTCACTTCGAACGTCATCCTTTTTGCACCTACGTAAATATATACGTAATCAATTAATCAAAACCAAAACAATGAGTTAAAAGAAGATACAACTCTAAAGGAAACAATGCTCTCATAACTCTTTCTGTACACTGCCTGCTCAGCAGATAACAGACTAGCTCATGAACATAGTCTTAGTTAGTTTATGTATTCATGTATTCATGTCTTCATGTATTCAACAGGGACAGTTGACACATGACACATTAATGAACATTTCTGTAAATGGGCCAGTTATTCAAGAGGCTATTTTTCATCTGTAGTCCCTGGACAGATTTTAAAAGTCAACCTAAAACACATTTTTTCTGAGTGGAATAATGCAATCTCCTCTCGCTGCACCTCCTGTTATCCTCGTTGTGCGTATGTTAATAAGGGAGGGTGTGTGTATGTGTGGCCCGAGCGAGCGAGAGAGAGACCTTACAGCATTGTTGTTGTTAGCATCTGGTGCTAGCTAGCTGCGCTAACGGATATGGAGCTGTTTAAATGAAAACAGAGGAGCGACATTTCGCCACAACTGCGCCGAGCACTTGACTTTATGCAGGAAGCCAGAAAGTGGGACATTATACGAAAAGTCAGCACACTCAGCACGGATAGTGCGCAACATGATTGCAGCGTCCAGGCAGCTCCCGTTCGAGCATATGCCTTGAGTTGCATATAGCTCCAACGACCACACACACACACACACACACACACACACACACACACACACACACACACACACACACACACACACACACACACACACACACACACACACACACACACACACACACACACACACTTACTTTGTATTGTATTATTGTATGAGAGAGGTTCCAGGTTGTTGTGTTTAATAAACTGTCTAAGAGGAGGTGAGGTAAGGCCGTTGACAGTTAAGCAGTTAAAAGATGGATTTAGTAATGGTTGAGCCTAATATCAGAGCTAAACGACTTTAACACTATTTCTGGTATTAAAAAACTAAAATAATCAACTAAAAGAAGCTAAAAGGGACTTCCGGTTGGACGAACATGTGAGGGCTGCGTTGTCTCGTTCTCCCACGACTTTACTTTCTACATTTAATTTAAAACCACCGAAGTTGAGTTAAACCCGTATTGTGTGAACATAATTTGGACTATAAATCAGAACAAGCCGATGTGATGCCGAAACCTGCGTTGAAAACGGAGACGAAACGGGCAAAAAAGACCGAAACTGCTGTCTCAAGTGCAAGTGAAGTTGCTGGCGCGGACATGGCTAGCATAATTAGCCTGCTTGAAGAGCACAGAGCTAGCATTTCAGCTGACTTCAAAGCTGCCTTTGCGGTACTGGAGGCGAAGCTGAACCAAACGCAGACCACAGTAGCAGAACATGGGGAACAAATAGACTCTTGAGACCAATGCCAATCTGCAAGATCAGCGACTCCGTATACTCGAGGAGAAGTGTGCGGTATTAGCAGATAGCAATGCTAAGCTAGCTGCGAAGACCGCAGATCTGGAAGGTCGGAGCGGCAGAAATAACATTAGAATCATTGGACTTCCTGAGTCTATTGAGGGACCCCGGCCTACAACCTTCTTTTCTGAATTTTTGGTGGAGCTGCTAGGCAATGAAACTCTCTCATCCCCTCCCGAGCTGGACCGTGCACACAGAGCGCCGGCTGCTAGGCCGCAGCCAGGGACGAGACCGCGACCTGTGATATTGCGGCTGCATCACTACCAAGTCAAGGACCTGATTGTCCGGGAGGCCCGCAAGAGACGAGGGGATCTCCGCTACCGTGGGACACCAGTGCAGATCTCCGAGGACTTCACACAGGAGGTTCTCGAACAGCGGGCGAAATACCGAGACATCATGTCAAAGCTGTACAACCTAGGCCTCAGACCGGCTCTTCTGTTCCCTGCTCGCCTGCAGATCACACTTGGAAGTGGGGCTAAGAAAAGGTTCCCCTCGCCCCTGGAGGCTGTAGCCTTTGCAGCTGGCTATGAACGCGAGCCGGCTAACTAACCACTGATGTTGTGCTAGGCTAGTGGTGGCTGAGCTAAGCTAGGCTAAACCGCGCTGGCGCTGCATTGATGGTGGACTGGGTACGTTACAACCGTTATGTTGGGACACAATTGATTGTATAATCTAACGTTACCTAGCCATGACAGCGCACAATGCGACATGTTGTCTACATTTATTTTTTGTATGATTACATTTGTATATTTACACTATATACCCGGGGTGTTTTTTGCACTATTTCGAATGTCCTTGTTAACTCATGCTGTTCACAATTGTCTCTGGGCACTTTACAGCCGTCGTTCTGTTGGGACGTCATTTCTTTTATAACTAACGTTGCTCGGCCAAGTCAGCAGACGATGTGACATGTTTACATCTATTTTAATTTAATTTAATTGTTTTCATTTTTGTATTTACACTATACCCGGGATGTTCTTGCACTTTTGCAATGTTCTTGTTAACATTTGCTGTTCACAATTGTTACACTTACTAAGGAGGTTGTATCTGCATGATGTGGGTACTGAGACACCTTGAAGAAGGAGAGATGATTCAGGTAGGGAAGTTATTGCCAATTTCATTGGCAGATGGAGCTCAGGGGTGGGGAGGGAGGGGGTCTAGGGCATGGGAGGAGGTGGGAGGGGGTCTAGGGCATGGGAGGGAGGGGGTCTAGGGCATGGGAGGAGGTGGGAGGGAGTAGAGGATGGGAGGGAGAGGGTGGGGCATTTATCTTGATGGGGCTACAGGTTTCCATTTGTTTGAGGCAGCTGTTTCATTTACATTCTGTTTTGTCATCTTTATGTACACTGTTCTCTCCATTTTTAGTTGTGGATGTTCTAAGGCTGATCTTACACCTTCGATGCTGTATGCAGTGTCATGGCTAATATAACTGGTACAGGGACTGGTGGTGGACAGGCGGTCAGGATACTCTCTTTGAACACTGGTGGGTTGAATGCTTCGGTGAAACGCACAAAGATTATGACACATCTTAAAAACCTGAAGGCGGATATAATGTTTATACAAGAGACACATCTCTGTAAATCTGATCAGCGAAAGCTGAATAGGCCGTGGATTGGACAAATGTTTCATTCACAATTTAACCTAAAGACAAGGGGCACAGCCATTTTAATTCGTAAAAAAGTAAATTTCACCCCTACTAATACAATTTTAGATCCAAATGGACGTTATGTCATCATTTCTGGTACTCTCTATCAGAAGCCGGTCATCTTAGTTTCTGTGTATGCTCCCAATTGGGATGATCATAATTTTGTGAAATCGCTATTCTCCACCATCCCCAATTTGAATTCCCACCTATTGATACTGGGAGGAGATATGAATTGTGTTATAGACCCAACACTAGACAGATCTAGTTCCAGAACTGTGGCGCCCTCTAAAACGGCACAGACTCTCTCTGCTTTTATGGACCACTATGGCTACGTCGACCCGTGGAGATTTTTACACCCCTCGGCTAGGCAATACTCTTTCTTTTCCCATGCACATCGTTCATACTCTCGCATAGATTATTTTATTGTTGATAAAACATTTATTTCGTCGATTGTCTCCGTTCAGTACTCACCGATAACTGTATCAGATCATTCAACTGTGATCCTGGACCTTCACTTTGATCATAAGCCTAAGGAATTTAGATTCTGGCGTCTTGACCCTCTTTTACTTTCTGATGCAGCCTTTTGTGAGTGTATTTCGGAATCAATTGCATTCTTCTGTGAGACCAACCAAAATGAAGAGACCTCTGCGTCCCTACTCTGGGAAACCCTTAAAGCTTTTCTTAGGGGTAAGATCATCTCGCATACGTCTCATGTTAATAAACTTCGTAGAGCACGCCAAAGAGAACTGGAAGAATCTATCATTAATCTAGACAACCAACTATTTTCCACTCAATCACCTGATCTATCTAAAGAACGGATGGGGCACCAAACAGAACTTGACCTTCTCCTAACAAGAGAGGCTGAACTACTCCTTCTACACTCACGAGGGTCTATATATGAACATGGCGATAAAGCTGGCCGTCTCCTGGCCCACCAACTAAAGGCTAGGGTGGCCTCGAACCAAATCACCCAGATTCGGGACGGGTTGGGCTCTCTCACTTCTGACCCGGGAGAGATTAATAACATCTTTAAAACCTACTACTCTCGTCTCTACACGTCTGAATCCCCTGATAACGAAGATCAGCTACATACATTTTTGGATAAATTGGATATGCCCATGATTTCGACTAACGACCAACAGACACTAGATGCCAACCTGCAGCTTGCTGAGATTAAAGAGGCAATACAGTCCATGAATAGTGGCAAATCACCGGGACCTGACGGATACCCGGTAGAATTCTACAAAAAATTCTCAAATCAACTTTCCCCATTATTATTAGATATGTTTAATTCGTCGTACGTCCAAGGCTCACTGCCGCCTACCCTTATGCAAGCCTCTATCTCTCTGATCTTTAAGAAGGGTAAGGACCCGTTGAGCTGTGCATCATATCGCCCAATCTTGCTCCTGTCTGTAGATGTGAAAATACTTGCGAAGATTTTTGCTCGCCGGTTGGAATCTATTATACCCTCCATCATTTCGGAAGATCGGACAGGATTCATAGGAGGGAGGCACTCCTTCA